AGAGTATAATGCCTGGAAATACAACAGAATCCTCATGGGTTGTGATTGTCTGAAACTGTTTTTTATGATAAAGAATATTTAGAGTTGTATGATGATGGAGACGTGTTTCCCTATGATTTAGGCAGCCTGTGCTTTCAGGGCAATTTGCCTAAATAGCATATATTTGAACTGGTTGCAGTCATTGGGTGAATTGTTCACTGTGGTCCAGGGGGATGTTGAAGATAAAGGTAGTAAGATTTCTCAACCTCCATTGACTTAGTTCTCGGGTTCCACTTAAAGTTAACTAATGACAGTAATTGTCTATGAAACGGACCAGGTTAAAATTAGAACACAATTAGAACATGCTAAGGCATGGGAGACATAAATAAAATCTATAGTGACCAAGCATCTCTAGACTCACTACACTTCTGCTAATTTTGAATTAATATTCAGAATACTTCCACTTCTCTTCTCTCTTGGAGAGATTCAAAATAAGTATTTAGAATCTGGGGCTTTTTTTTCAAAGGCAAAAATGTGTTCTGTGCTATCCACAGCTCTTTTTTTCATTTTATGCCTTGAATATTCTGATATAACACCTAGACGCTTTCACATTATATGTTAAATAAATCATTTTCCCCTTGTCGACTTAGTTTGCCAAATTGCTTTCTGATCTTGACTCTTCGGGAGAACAGACTCCCTCCCCCGCACGGATGCAGATATTCCTGAACAGTGTTCTGCAGCCATGGGTACAAAGACGCATGGAAAGTGTGAATGAATACATACTTGGAACTCTTTGGTTTGAATGACTCATGGAGTTATGTAAATCACATTTAAGGGTCAGGATGGCCTGTTGAATTGAGAATGTTTATAGCAGGTAAGATGAAAATAGTAAGAACTTCACCTTTTTTGCCTTTTGTTGACATATAATTAGCTTAGTAGCAAATTTCTGTGTGAATATAGCCTTTAAATTAAAAAAACTACCAATTCTGGGTAAACCCAATGCAAAGATTTTCAAGCTTTGAAGTAATTAAAATATTATTCTTTTCAGTAAAATAATATATTTTTGCCCTACTAATATGGGGCAATATCAGTAGGATTTTATACCCTAAAGTATTCCACAAGAAATTCAAAAATTAGGGGGAAAAAATAAAGAATTCTGTTTCAAGGGTTCTTTGTTCCTAACAAGCTTGAGGCCAAAGTCGAAGTAAGTAAATTACAGTACTCTATGTAGTAACATTGAGTTAATTATGAGGTCATGCCTAGTTTATAGACAAAATGCCATAATGAAATCTGGGTGGGTCAAGATGAGAAGTATTCAGACTTGAAGTTCAATTGGAGAATCAGAGACTGAATAGAGAGGAACATAGCAAGTCTTATGGAAAAAAAAAATACCTGTTTGATCATTCTAATATGTGTCATTAGAAGCTGAAAATTGCTAAATAAATCTATATGCACAAGCACATATATATGAATGGGTTTGTGTTTTTCTTTAGTTAATACTTTATGCCATCTATGATATAACTTCGACTTAACACTTTTCCTCTTATTTCTCTGTCAAAATGCTGCATGATTTAAGATTGAAGATGATTTAAGATGCTACTTTAGTACAAGGTATTTTTATTTCATCTAATGAGACTATCTTAGTTTCAAAAATATTTCACAATTAGTATTTTATGCTAACAAATAAAACACCAGCTAACCTAGAGGCTATATGCAAGCAGAAACACACAACAAAATGTACAGTGAACACTTTCCCTTCATTTGTTTCCTTAGCAAATAGAATTCGATTGCCAAGTTCTTCATGGAACGATGAGTCTTTTGTATTTTATTTCTATCTATAGACACAGAGATCTGTCCCTCTGCCATGGAGATGTTGTCTTATATGAGAGTCGTATTTCAGCAAACATAATTAAACCATCACAAACAGAGCCTTCCATTAGTCAGACCAGAGCTATTGCCGTTGTGCAGTTAGAGGCGTATGAAAGTATTTCACATTCTGCTGGGGAGAAAAAAAGACCACTAAATATTTCATGGGTTTTTCTTGATCAAATTATTTATTTCTCAACATTTTAAAGATATACTTAATTTTTCTTGACAGCTATTTTTGTCATCACGTTAGAGAAATAGATATTAAGGGCAAAATTTGCAGGGGATGCCAAGAGCTGGTATTTTCCTGGAGTGATGCTTACTGTGTGCATAAAAATAAATCTCATACTGTTCTTTAGAAAATGTCCTTGGCATTTGATGTGTTTTCTGAAGCTATATTCTGGTAATGTTCTGCATCTAAGGTTTCGGGGCGGTGGTGGGACGGAGGGGGTGGGGATCATAATTTGATTGGAGTGGTTCAATATACATTTGGGTTACATGCAAAATTAAAAAGGAGACACTAGAGGGTACTGTTTGATTTTCTTTTTCATTGGGCTGTGCTGCAGATGTCAGTGAAAAATGCCATCTTGTTCTTCTAAACAGGACCAAATTGCAATGAAATACAAGGTGTAGAAATCCCGTGAGTTTTGGGAGAGAGAGGCTGGGATGTTCACAATGGGGTAGATGCTTAATTAAGTAATTCTTTATTACCCTAGCTCTGTATACTTGTCATCTTTTGATAATTACTTAATTCCTTTGGTTGAAAGAAATTTTATTAGATTTCAAGCTCTCACTAAATGTCAAATGGTCCTAAAAATAGCTAGAATATTAGACAATCTTAAACAATTAGTGCTCTGAAGTTTTGCCATTAGGATTTTGAGTAGAGCACATACCTACTACTGGTTAAGAAACTAATTACAGAATTCCCAATTGTTATGAAGGCCAGACCCCAAGATGTTGTTTCTTTTGATATCAGACAAATCCTAAGTCAACAACATTCCCAATTAACTTCCTTTTTAACCTTTGCTAAGCAGGTGCTTCTTTTTGTTGTTGTTGTTGTTGTTTTTCTTTCCTCTTGGGGCAAATCTTTTCAAGCAGCAGGAAAAGACTAAGTCAACAACATTCCCAATTAACTTCCTTTTTAACCTTTGCTAAGCAGGTGCTTCTTTTTGTTGTTGTTGTTGTTTTTCTTTCCTCTTGGGGCAAATCTTTTCAAGCAGCAGGAAAAGACAATGTTCTGGAGTCATCTTGATATATACTATCATAGGGCTTACATTTGTCTAGTGTCATTTTCTGACATGAGACTATTTGAAAAGAAGCTTAATGTTCTTATTTCACAGAGAGGAAAATTAAGGCATTGAGGCATTGAATGATTTGTGTTCCAAGTGGAGAATTAGCATAAGGGTCAGGGTCATCTCCCAGTTCTTCGGCCTTCCAGGAAGTCCACTAAGAGGCCTGTTTTAGTTCTGTAGAAATATTTCTCTTTAATCCAGATTGAAGTGAATGACAGAGACAACAGAAGAGCCATCACCACTGATCTCCAGTTCTTCCGTCTAGGCACACATGAGGTTTTCACTTTCTCCATCTCTGAAAGTTAGTTACAGCCACATGACTTGTGCTGGCCAATGAAAAAGGAACAGAAGTGAAGCGTGTCACTTCTGGGCAGAGCTGGGGTGTGGTTCTCCCTCCTCTCTTCCCCTGTGGGGTGAACCTTGCAGCCACATGCTGAGCTGGCAGCATCAAAAGGTAAAGCCTCCAACCTCCCTGCTGGGAGGACAGCAAGGAGCAGAGTCTGCTTGCATGGGCAAGAAAGATACCTTTGTTTAAGCCTCTGACATTCTGGGGTTTTCTGCTCTGGCATCATAACCTGGATTATTCTAATGATAACCACTGAAGGATGCCAACCGAGTGGGAAAACCAAAGACCAAGAATAAAGGTGTGTCAAGAAGGAATTTAATTAAAAAGCTAAAAAAAAAAAAGAAAAGAAAAGAAAGAAACTATAGTTTTTAATTGAATAATTTTCAGTGACTTTGCTATGAAAATCAATAAAGAGAAGTTATCAAATAAGTAGTATCATTTCCTCCTTGTACAAGGCTACTTCAAAAAGTTCATGGAACAATTTGTATTATCTTTTAATTCTATTTTTCCACAAACTTTTATAAGTACCTCTGTATGTTTTTAGTTAAAATTCACTGAAGGAATTCAAGTAAAACAATAAAGGAGACATTATTGTGTTCACCTCATAATCTGTTTGATTTTGAAAACCTAAACCTTCCACGGTGTGAATGGAAGTGGTGTTTAGTTCATCTGGATCCTCTGATCTGGAAGTGTGAGAGTCTGGAGCTGAGGTTTTTATGTAAACAAAGAGCGTGTGCATAACATCAATTTCTATCACGGTGAGGAAGAAGTATTGTGTCTCAGCTAGAATAGATGGTTTGATTCCTTAATCTATCTCAATGCCCTGCATTTTTCCAAGAGATCTTAAGATGTCCAAGCAGAAGCAGACACATATTTTTCTCCATCAATACCAGCTGTCCTCTTAGCCGCATAGCATGTGTGACTGCCAAGACAAGCTAGAAATTGTTGACTCTCCCAGGAGGCTGGGAGAACAAAGCAGCTCAGTGCAGACTCAGTCTATACCCGACTCTTCAGCCCAGTGATGGGGTGATGCTGGTGCCTTTGACAGGTAAGACAACAGCCACTGCGCCCACACCTATGTTCAAGGATGCTAAGCATTTCTGCTCAGCTTTTGAGTTCCCAGGAAATACAAAAATGCTATCAGCTTAAATCCAAGACACTTCAAAATAAACTCAAAGTGGGCTTTGCTTTGTTTTTAACCTTAAAAGGAGAGGCATTCCAGGGATATATTTAGCAGGCCCTCCATTTTGTAGTTAATTATAGTAAACGTGTGTTTATATACCATTTGCAGAAGAGGACGCTGCCTGTGTCTCTTCTACACGGCACTTTAATGCTCTGCTTTGTAGAGCATTACACACAAACAGTAATATACAACAGTGCATTAAAGCTCTGCCCAGCAGTGCCTACCTGGTCCCACTGCTGCTGCTACTGCTTACTTTTTTTTTTTTCTTAATCATAGCATTCTATTTAGTGTGCAAAGCTTAACATCAACAAAAATGATTCCAGCCACTAAGTAATGAGAATACTTGAACACAAAGTTTATTTAAGGATGAAACACATGAAAAATTATTTGGTTGATTTGCAGAAAGAGAAGGGATTGGGTTTGGGAGGATGGGATCAGGGGGTGGAGTTCCCCACGTCTGCAAACAACATACCCAGTAGCCAAAGCTGCCATGGCAAGGTCAAAGGACACAGTGGTGGGGGGAGCTCATCATAAAGAGAAGGAACAACACACGTGTGTCATAGATCAGACACTCCCAAACGTCAGAAGGGTTCCTTAGAGGGAGTCAAACCCTTCAGTCATCACTTCGAAATCAGTCCAACAGGGCCCCTCTCTGTGAAACTATGGTATAGAAATAGCACTGGCTCCACCAATTGCTCTGTAGGATTTCTGGTCAGACTTTTCTAACCAGAATTTTTTTCTTTACTGGTTTTTCATGTGAACCAAAGTTTATAGTGGCAACTGTTTGGGAATTTTAGGCAAGATACATGCTTTCCACAACTGGCTTTTAGAAGCCCCGTTGCATACTCTGAAAGAGGAGCTTGGGATTTCACTCATTTCTGGACTTCTGACCGTTGGATGCTGGACACTTTCAAACAGGTTTTGACTTAAAAGCACACACTCTTTATCCTACAGGAAGTTGAAGTAAAAAAATGACAGTACTTTATATATCAACCTTGAGTTAATTATGAGGTCGTGCCTGATTTATAGATAAAATGCCATAATGAAATCTGGGTCATGATGAGAAGCAGTGTCCACACTTGAAGTTCGACTGATGAATTAGAGGCTGTGGACAGAGAGGAACACGGTAAGTCCTATGAAAGAAATACCTGTCTGGTAGGGATCACACATCTTTGCAGTGCTGTACTCAACTAAATAAAGTTCATCGCTGACAACACCCTTTTCCAAATGGCCCTGACTAAGGCAGCAAAGAGCAGATTAATCCAGTCTTTAAGGGAGTCCTGCTAAAAATCTCACAGGGTATCAGGAAATCCATGTGCATGTGCTAAGCCTTTCTTGTGTGCTGCAGCAAACATCCCAATCCAACTTCAGCCCAAGTAGACTTAGCAGCCAGAGTTAAGGCCAATATATGGTCCTTAAAAAGTTGCATAACTTATTTTTTTTAAGAAGTTACCTTCATTTTTTAAATGAAGGAGTAGGGACCCAAAGGTTTTTTTTAAAAATGGCACTAGAGGGCCGGCCCGGTGGCGCACTGGATAGTGCGCCGCTTGGGAAGCGCAGCGGCGCTCCTG